AAAATCCCATATTTTTTAACTTACTGATCAGAAAAGTCATTCATATCCTTTGTAGAAGACCTGGAGGAGAATAAAACGGAAAACAAAAATCACCTGATATCTCACCACTCGGAGATAATAACACTGCCATTACTTTCCTGTAATGTGGTTGAGTTACTTTTTGTGTTTTTACATTGCACTTGACTCTGAGGGCTCATAAAGATTATGTGAGATGAGACCTGCTAAATGTACGTGAGAAAACAAATAAATATATTCATGTAATAATTAAACAAATAACTAAGTATGTGCTGTGTGTCAGACTGGGAAGGTTCATGCATGTGTATCTGAATGTATGTATGTGAGCACATATTTGCGTGTATTTATATGTATTTATAATAGCATATGTATTTGTGTGTAAATTTTTTTTTAGCTATGGGCCCTGTAACATGAAGTTTCTATTTGTCTTTAGTGAATCAGAAGAAAAAGACAAAGTGAGTTTTCATCAGGTTTCAGGGGTGTTTTGAGATACTGTGCCCTAGAATATAAGCTACATGAAATTAATTTTCTTGGAGGACACCTTGAAAAGATGGAGAGGCAACCTCTAGGGTTCCGGAAACAGACATGAGAGTTCTGTGCAATTGCAGACAAGAGACAGTCCCCTAAAGATGCCCAGGGCAAAGAAAACAAACAGCAGTTTTAAATATTCACCTCTAATTGAACATCACAAAAGGAGACAATTTTAATTGCAACCACTAATTATCGTATGAAAGACCTCCCACACGGGCAGCTCTGTGTGGCTTGCTCCAGGGGGAGTAGCTTGGGAGTTTAACAAGGGTTAGTGATTCTCTTAAGCGATGCTGGGGAGGTCACAAGTACACACACAGTAAAAATACTTTTATTGATTTTTATCTCTGAATGCATGGGGTGTATTATGTATACATAGTGAGTGTAATACCTGGGCCCCTCCTTCATTCGCCATTTCCAGTCATGCAGTAACACCATTCATCCGATCCCCAAATATAGATTGAGTGCTCGCTATGTTCTAAACACCAGCAATACAGAGAGATTTGGTCCCGGCAAGAATGTAAGCTCCACAGAAATTAGGACTTTATCTGCGTCACCTGTGCACAGGTCCGTGCTGGCACATAGTAGGTGCTCAATGGGTGTTTACTGAATGAGTGAATGGCATGTGAATATATGTGCCCAAGTGTAATGAATATATCATATCTATTACTATAGATATGTTGGGTGTAATGACACCAACTATATGTTGGGTGTCATTACAATGTGTATATCACCATTACTGTAGTTAGAGATTAACATGGGTATATGATGTATTTATTAGTAGGCTTCTGCTGTATACATCTTAGCATCTGCATAGTTTCATATCCTAGTTTCTCTCCCAACTTCTTTTTGCTTCAAGCCTCTAAAGAGAGAGAATAACAGAGAAGACCAGCTTCACACTTGGTCTCAAAATGCAACCCCATTTGCACATGGCAATACCGATTCAATCCCAAGCATCCTTAGTCAGATGTCATGAGAGGGAGAGAAGGCCCCAAACTCCCAGACAGGAAAGCGGACACATCTCTTGTACCCCCTTCTCCTGTGTCATGCTCCCCACCCCCAGTGTCCCCTGAGCAGTCTCTAGCTGCGTTTTGTTTTGTCTGCCCCAGGGGCAGTTTGGGGCACCGCATTCATTTCCCCTAACGACTTGGTCTCTGCAATCAGAAGACTCTATTTGCTTTGCAAGTTGAAGCAGAAAAGGTTTGCTGATTGCTGATTGCACAGACTCTAGATTTCCCAAGTCTGTCTCCTTGTGTTCCCACTGGGCCTGATCTGAGTACCCTGGATCCCATCCTTGGTCCATATACTCTCATCTATGGATGCTTTTCTTGCTTGAAGCTCTCCCCGTTCCAATAACTCATCCCCTATGCGGCCCTTAGTTGCATCCATGTCTTTTCTCTGTGGGGTGCTAAAAAACCTTTGGAACTAGAGTCCTTATTCACCTGTGACCTTGGCAAACCTCTGCTCCTCATCCCCAGTGGCTCCTCATTCTCCTCTGAAAATTAAATGATAGCAATGCCAGCGTTGACCAAGCCTTTCCTCTTCTGGAGGTCAGAGAGGTTGGGTACCTTGCTACAGCTCACACAGCCAGTGAGGGGCAGAGCTGGGCTTTGAACCCAGGCACACTGGCTCTAGAAGCTACTTTGTCTTTGATGATACTACAGATTGGACTCACCTCAGCTCGCCCTTGCCTGCTCCCACCCACTTAGTCCCAGAGCAGAGCCATCCATCCCTGAGATAGTGACTGTCCCCGGGGGCCCGGTCCCCTGGTCTCTGCCTACCAGGAGGCTCTGTGAGGGTTAAAACATCAGGCCCTTGTTGCTCACGCTGCATGACGTTGCAGGTGCAAAGCTCACCCAGGCACAGCTGGGAGGGGACACCAGTGCTCTTCTCTCATCTCTGGGCTCATGAGGCAGAAAACTCTGTCCCCCAAGAACCCAAGACCACACCTCTGAGCTTTGTGCTCTCCCGGCTGCATGACCTCACACAGGCCCCTCTGCTGCTCTGGCTTTCCGTAGCCCCCAAACAAACACTTACAGCACGCCTAACATGGCCTGGGGAAGTGGACGTCAGCTAGCATCTCTGTATCTTACAAAGAAAGATACAGGTGCCCCATTTCCTGGGAGAACATGTTTGATTTCTGTTGCCTTGGAGAGAGCTGAGCTCAGACAAGTGCTCCTATAAGTTGCTGGGACTTTGCACCCGGCCGTTTTTCTGGGTGTCTTTATGAGCTGACATGCCAGCGTCCAGAGGCAAGCGCCTCCCAGCCATCCCCCGGTGCGTGTTATTTCCTGTGACAGTCCACTGGCCTCCTGCCCGGGGGCCCCTGCCTCTGACCGGCTCTCACCTTGTCAGCACCAAGATGGGGATTTCACAGCTGGCAACTTCAATCAACTCTAGTGCTTGCCAACTTCTCGTCCGTCACCCCTTCTCTCTCCACGCTGCTGCTTCTCAGCTCCACTCAGCCCTTACACTTCTCAGTCTTTGCCTGCTCGCTTTCTCTCTCTCTCTCTCTCTGTCTGTCTCGTTAAAATTGGGAAAACTCAAAATCAGATGAAAAGCACAGACCCACAATACCGCGAATAGACAGGCCACTCTGCAAAGGACAGCTGTGCACATTCCCGCAATGGGGAGGACCTGGTCCTCCCTGACTTTCATTGGGGGTGTGCACACGCAGCCCCAGAAAGATCACTGGCAAGATCAGGCTTTAAATCCAGGCTCTGCACTGAATGCCTTCACTGGCCTCCACTTCTTCATTTACAACATAAAGAAAACGATCCCAGCCCCAGAGAGGCACTGTAAGCTGTTTCAGATTGCACAGCTAGTGAGTTAAATGGGTAACTGGGAACATTGCTTAGATATGACCCTAAATCTTCATATTTTCACCTTTCTACACCCTCAGCAGTTGGTATATATGTGTTCCTTAAAGCATCAGGGGCGCCTGGGTTACTCGGTTGCTTAAGAGTCTGACTCTTTTTTTTTTTTTAAGATTTTATTTATCTATTCATGAGAGACACACAGAGAGAGACAGAGACACAGGCAGAGGGAGGAGCAGGCTCCCTGCAGGACTTGATCCCCAGACCCCAGGATCATGACCTGAGCTGAAGGCAGACACTCAACCATAGATCCGCCCAGGTGCCCCAAGAGTCCGACTCTTGATCTCAGCCCAGGTCTTGATCTCAGGTTTCTGAGAGCCTACTTTAAAATAAATAAATAAATAAATAAATAAATAAATAAATAAATAAATAAATCAACAGTCAACAAATAATCCTTACATAATTTAGAACAGCTTAAAAGAAAAACTTTATCCCTAATCTACACTCCCCCATCATCCTCATCTATAAATATCACCAGCTCCCTAAGTGTTTTTCCAATGGTATGTGTGTTATTTGCAGATAGATAGGGGCATGATAGTCCCTATTCTATTTCGTTTGCTTAACATTATTCCACAGAAGCATTCCACACTGCCACAACCCTTATTTCAAATGTTAATGTCTGCCTCGTGGCATCAAAGAGACACTACTGTGGTCTTCCTAACCATTCCCAGTTGTGTTGGATGATGAGGCTGCTTTCAACTTCTCCCCATCCCCAATCCCACTGCTCTGAGCATTCTCTGGTACAGACTTTACTTTGCCTTTTGACTCATTCCCTGTAGGATAAATTTCTAGCAGGTGGGATTCCAGGTTTAACCCAAGGTTTCTCAGACTGGGCACTACGCATATTTGGGTGAGGTAGTTCTCTGTGGAGGGGCTTTTGTGCACATTGTAGGATGTCGGGCATCATCCCTGGCCTCTACCCACTAATGTCAGTAGCACCCCTGCCTGACACAGTGCCAGGCACAGAAAGAGCTCAGTAAATGGCAGTGGTATCTGCTTGCTCTGGGAGGAACCCCTCTGGCTTGTCCGTCTTTGCCTTTGCTGCCTCTAAGATGCAGAGTTGGGGGAGTCAGCATGGTGGAGTTCAAAAGGAACCATTCCTGTCTGCCCCCCACTACGTGCCCAATCTCTTATTCCAGATGCCTCACTCTAGATCCATCCCTGAGGCAGACATAGCTTCCAGAACCAGCCTCAGTTACTGTTCTGGGAAACATGAATTGGTCCATATATTTACTCATCCATCCAAGATGTACTGACTGGTGCAAAGTGGGTGGTGGTGCATGACTCTGGGGTCAGACACACTAGGCTGAGACCCACCCCCCCAGTGTGGATGAGGGGGCTCTGTCTTGGGGGCCATCAGCCATGCCCTGGTGGCCCCCAAAACATCCATGTCCTCTATACAATTTACAACATCTATCTGAGGGTCTGAAAGCCCACCTGTATGGAGAGGGTGCTCACCATGTACTAGGTACTCAGTGAACACTAGGCTCCACCTGGGGTGTGTTTTTCCTCCCCAGAAGCTCTGGCAAGTAGGTGAGTTCTTGCCCAAGGCCAACATTTGCTTGTGGTCTCTGTCTCCAGGAGAAGTATGTGGAGGAACTCGCAGCAGTGAGACAGACCCTCCAGACAGACCTGGAGACGTCCATCCGGCGGATTGCCGACCTACAGGCAGCCTTAGAGGAGGTGGTGTCCAGCGACAGCGACACGGAGAGGTAATCTACAGGGCCCAGGTGTGGCTGGGTACAGCAAGTGAACTGTACCCTGAGTGTTCTACAGTCTTTGGTAGACAGAACTCCCATTCTCAGGTCTGAGGGTCCCCATCTACAGGGAGACCCCAGGGCATTGAGTGGTGGGAGGGATAACTGGCTGGCTTATGTGAGCAGTGACAGGATGTTTGCTTCCCCTGTGGTGTTAGCATCTCCTTGTTGCCACTGAAGCCACCTAGCCTAGCTCTCCAAGCTTTCAGAGAAGCAATCAGTGGAGTGCTTGCAGAGTGGGCTGCAGATCGTGATTGTGGGCAGGTTCCATGTCCAATCTGGGCCCAATCCCCTCACATGCGAAATGGACATAATGCTTCGGACCAGCTACATCAAATTGCTCTATTTTGACTACTTTTTGGCACGCAGATTGACGTTTCATGTACCCAACCCACTGCATATCGGGGTTGTCAGTGAGTGTCAAATGAGGTACCAGATGGACACCATTTAGAGCAGTACCAGGAGTGCACACAGGGTGTAGGGGTGTAAGCTGTGTTTGGGCACAGAATGGGCATCTTTTCACAGAGGCAAAAGCTGATTGGAAGATGTAAGATTAGACAGCTGGTGATACGCCAGACCACCCAAATTCAGTGTCAGGGCTTCTCTCCTGTCTTAGAAGACAGGTTACTTCACACTGTCTCCACTCAAATCTCAAGCTTCCCTAGGCCATGGGTGGGCTGCTCACCTGGATGGAAGGAGTTCGAGGTGTTCCAGATGGGCACATGGACCCAGGCTGTCCAGTCTCTTGCAGGTGGCCCATAGCATCCTGTTCCCCAGAGCTGCCTTTGTAACATTGGCATGTTACTTCTCTGGAAACTATAGCTGCCTGTCTGGCTGTAGCCTCTCTGCTCACATCCCAGTCTCTGCCTAAAACCTGGGAAGCAAGGAGAGGCATTTTGTTTGCATTGCTCTGCTAAGAAACAGGGTACCTTAATGTAACCTTCAGATGTGACTCCCTCCCTACACACACTTGTGGGGCTGTACTCGCTGCTGCTCCCCCTTGGTCCCTGTCTCTGTGAAATGATTCACGTTGCAGCCTGAACAATCCAGTAGCAGACCATGAGTGCAACCGTCTCCACTTCTAGGAAGACCCTGAGAGAAGTTTAAGGTCACATAGCAAATTACGAGCATGCATGGAGTTTGAAGCTGGGGCTGCTGAGTTTCCTACCCTAGGCCTTTGCCAGTCGTACCCTTCGTAATAGGGTGAAGCAGGGGCCAGCTGCTGACCTGCAAGAGGCATGGGCAAGAGAGGTGGGCGGTGAGGGAAATAGAGTTGCAAGTCAGCTGTCGCTTAGCCAGTGGGAAGAACCCGTGGAGCAGACCATGCCTGGTCAAGGGAAAAAAGCCCAGAAGGAAACACACCAACATTCTAATACTGATGGAAGGCATCACTCCTGACCTCAATTTTTGTTTTCTTCAAGCTTTATTTATATATTATAAAATTTCTGCAATGAACATACACATACAACCCTAGACTAGGATCCTCATTTGGAGATTTTGCTCACATAAGTTACGGACTTTATTTTTTTAAGATTATTTATTCATTTTAGAGAGAGAGGGAAAGAGCAGGGTGAAGGGGCAGAGGAAGAGGGAGAGAAAGTCCCAAGCAGACTCTGCACTAAGCATGGAGCCCAATGTGGGGCTTGATCTCATGACCCTGAGATCATGACTGAGTTGAAACCAGAGTCGGTTGCTTAACCAATTGAGCACCCAGGCACCCCTAAGTTACAGACTTTCTACACCTGATTTTAGTATGTGATCACATCCTTTCCTTGATGTGGTTCTGGGCTGGTCATAAGCTGCTCAGAGTTGGGTAACATTGAACTTGTTCATGCTCAGCGTCATCTGACAGAGACCCAGTGAACTCTGCATGTCTTTGCCTCTAAATAAAGGACTTTATCTAAGAAATCGCAGTTTGTGCAAAAATTGCTTCCATGCACAATTCTAAGTGTTGCTACCATGCCCTGCTAATTTGCACAGCTGCCAAATTGTGGTGAAATGGCAAATACTGGTGTTGCACCTGCTTCCTGGCTCACGATTACATTTAGGATGTCCCGTGAGCTGCCCTCCCTGCAGTTTATTAGTGTCCTGACAGAAATCATGTCTGTAATTGTAAACCCTATTGTCAATATTACCTACTTGATGCTTGGGCTGGCTCTTCTGTTAATAAAGACATGAGCACTTTTGCACTAATTATAATGAGAATTAATGGTTGTATATATGAGGGTTTTTTTTAACTAATGAGTAAAACTTTTGAAACATTTTTACTTGCATAGCCAGAGATTGCTTTTCTTTTGTTCTCTCTCTCTCTCATTCTCTCTCTCTCTCTCTCTCCCACTCTCTTTTGGGAGAGAACACAAGCTTGGGGGGGGGGCAGGGGCAAACAGAGAAGGAAAGAGAGAATCTTAAGCAGGCTCCATGCTCATCATAGAGACTGATGCAGGGCTCAGTCCCACGAGCCTGAGATCATGACCTGAGCCAAAATGAAGATTGGGATGCTTAACTGATGGAGCCACCTAAGGTCCTAGCTTTTCTTTTCTTTTTTTTCTTCAAGTTTTTATTTTAATTCCAGCATAACTAACATACAGTGTTCTATTAGTTTCAGGTGTATCGTATAGTGATTGAACAATTCTAAACATTATTCAGTGCTTGGCATGATAAGTGCGCTCCTGTTTCTCCACTTCCTCACCAGCACTCGTTCTTTGTGTTTTTGATTTTAACCGTGGTGACAGGTGTGAGGCGCTATCTCATTGTGGGCTGGATTTGCATTTCCCTGATGCCAGTGATGTTGAGCATCTTTCCATGTGTCTGTCCGCCATCTGCGGGTCTTCTTTGGAGAAATGTCTGCTCATCTCTTCTGTCCACTTTTAATTGGATTATTTGTTTTTAAGGTGTTGAGGTTGCTTTTCTGATACGTGAAAGTTATCAGTGAAATAAATGAAATTTTATTATTAAAACAAAATTTGTTATTAAAAATAACAAAATTGGAAAGAAGCAAAGGATCCATGCTTGGAGGCTAGATAGAAGTAGTGACAGAAGCAGGGAGCACATTCTTGTCTGGGGAGTGAGATCCTTGTGGTGAGGTCACAGATGGTCATGGACATCGCTCTAGTCTCAGCTTATAGAGGCTCCTCTCAAGCCTGAAAGGGACCCTGACCTCACCCTCATCTCGATAAGAGGTTACTTTATCTCTTTCCACTCCAGCTGACAAGCCTCCTACTCGCTCATCCAGCTTTTCTGAGTTCCAGACCTTGGGACCCCAGGAATCATATCTGAATTTAGCTTCCTGCCTGCATTTTCATGATCTTCTGTCTCAGCAGGAATTGGTCCTGACCCTCTTCCCTGTAACCTGGATTTGAAATAGATGCAGAGCAGAGATTTCACCCATAGCACGCAAATAGGGAGAGACGGGCAGGTGATGGGGATTGCCTACAAAGAAGTCTTGACACATTTTGAAGAATTAATATTGCACAAACTTTGTTCTCTGGCCACACTGCAATTAAAATGATCCTCATCAATAGAAGGAAATCCATGCCTTGCTGGGCTACAGAGGCGCCGTCTGGAGCAGAGCTCCAGCTCCTACCCTGGTGCCAGCCTGTCCTCTTCCCCATCCTGATGGCAACACGCTATACTTCCTTCATAATTGTCTTGTCACCTGGGGTACGTAGTTTGGATGGGAGCCTGAGGGATTTGTGGAGGTACCTCTCCAAACTGAGCTCTCAATTAGGATTCACACCCATCCTGGGGGAGAGAGAGAGAGAGAGAGAGAGAGAGAGAGAGAGAGAGAGTGTGTGTGTGTGTGTGTTGCTTCTGCTGGAGGTAAGGTTCTTTAAGAGACTTGTTCAAATTATGAAAAGTCACATTTCCCCATGTTGGGAATTAGATCGGAGTGTAACAGGCCTTCCAGGCTGGAAACGTGGTTACGTGCTCAGAAAGCCAGGTGGCCCATGCAGCGACATTTAAACACGTGCCATTCCTGCACTCGGGCTCTGTGCTGTGACTTAGATCGGGGCATCAACCTTCGCAGATTAATGGGGAAATGCTTTAAGCTGTTCCCCCAGAGCCCGGAGCATGCTCATTACTCAGGGAGGAAGGGATGTGTCAGTTGACAGCCCCATCTATTCCTGGCCCCAGGGTCTGTGGCTGCTCTGCCTGGCACCTTTCTGGGGGTCTGGGGTAGGGTGGCGGACAGCGTGGAGAGATCAGTGGATGACTTCTGACTTCTAGATCAGCTGAGAACGTACCAATTCCAGCTGGCCCGGTCAGAGACCAATGCTCTTGAAAGGTGTCTCTTGTGCTGTGTTGCATGTAAGTTACATGTTTCTCGACATACATCCTTCTAACTGGGCTAAAATTAGGCTGCAGCAGCATAAGTAGGAAGATGTGGGTCTCACCACAGATGGCAGCTGCCACTGAGGGCCTAATTCTGAGTTGATTTATTTATTAGTGGGCCCAGGCTCTGGCCAGACTGTAAAGGTTCCTGCTACATAAAAGGACAGACTTTGGAACTGCTCACATTCCTCTTCCTAAAACGCCCTTATCTTCTGATTTGCAATCCCTGAGCTTCCACCTCGAGTAATAAGCCTGCCCTAGGCCTTAGATGCTTTAGCATCTCTTCATTATCCTGAGAAGCTTGATACCCCATTCCCAGTGAAGACACGTAGCCTAGTGATGCCACAGAAGCCACCTGACTTTCCAAGTGTCTTTCTAGCTTGGGAGGCCTGGATACTCGGCTGATAGGGGTCATGAGGAGTCAGGGCTCCAACCTATTTTTACCCACTCCTGCCTTATAGGAAATGATGGTAATTGGGATAAGAGGTAGTCTCTGCTGAGAGCTGACTGTGTGCTGAGCTACGCAAACTACTTGCTTTGCAGACACTTTCCTCACAACTTTTTAAGATTGGTGCCCAACTTACGGACTGGGACACTGGAGTCAAATAAATCAAGGAGCTGGC